CTATCACACATCCAATCCAGACATGTCGAAATAACATTGGACAACATGACAACGATATTTTATATAAACAAACAGCGGAGTGAGATCTCTCCCCTCTGTGCATAGAGGCAGTCACCCTCTGGAACTTGTGCATCAGTCATTGCATAATCCTATCAGCAGCATACTTACCCAGGGCGCAAAACTCCCTAGCAGATTCCCTGAGTAGACATTTTTCCACAAATCACAAATGGGAGATTCACAATTTGGTTCTTGGTATCTTTGTCCAATAGGGAATGCCAGCCTGGGACTTTTTCGCCTTACAGGGGAACAGGAAATTTTCTTGATACTGCTCCAGAGCAGCTGTGGGCAAGGGTTTGATGGGAAATTGCCTACTGGTGTCATGGAAGGGTTGCGTTGGGTATGCCTTCCCTCCTATCCCATTGGTACCACATGTTCTATGGAAGATCTGCCAAGACAGAGCTTAAGTCATCCTGATTGTGCCCAACTGGCCGAAGCAGTTTTGGTTTACAGATTAGCTGAAGCTCTCAGTTCTCCTACCCGTGAACATCCTCACATTGCGGGACCTTCTAACATAGCACAAGGGCAGCTTCAAACACCCCAATCTGGGACCTCTGCGATTTGGAGCCTGGTATTTGGATGGGAATGAGAAATAGAATGCGCATGTTCTAAAAGGGTGCAATCCATCCTTAACCAAAGCAGCAAAGACTCTACAAGAAGCTGTTGCTCAGTAAAATGGAAGCATTTCTCCGCTTGGGCTCACCAACCCAACTTATCTCCAGAATCCACCGGGGTCTCTGCTATCTGAGTATCTTCTTATCCTGAAGTCTTCGCGCTCAGTTCTCTGCAAGTGCATTTAGTAGCGATCAGCTCTTTCCATCCTCCGATGGATAACTGTACAATATTCACTCATCCTGTTACAACTAGATTTCTGAAGGAGATTCTCAAATCCTGTTCACCACTGGTGAAGTTTGCACCTCAGTGGAATATCAGTTTTGTTCCGTCATTTCTCACTAACCCCCCTCCCCCCTTTGAGCCTCTAGCCACATGCTCTATGGCCCATCTGTCCTTGAAAGTGGCCTTTCTAATAACCATAATGTCAGCCAGAAGAGTCGGTGAGCTGAGAGTGCTCGTGGTGGACCAAGAAAAGGTCTCTTGGGTAGGTGATTAACTACACTGACGGGAGAGCTCTCTCCCATCGAATTAGAGCATCTTCATTAAAGCCCTACAGTGGAGCAGCTGCATTGGTGCAGCTATGCCGATGCAGCATTTTAAGCATAGACTTGCCCTTAGTCCTTGATCCTTGATCCACCGACTCTCTCTTTTGACACTGGTGCCTCCAGTAAGAATTTTATCTGCTGAGTATCCACTGGAATTTCAGATTTAATCTGCTATAAATTACCCAGCAGTTTGTCTTTTCAAAATGATATCATATTTTGATAGATTACTCACAGGATATTTATCTGGCAAAATGATCCTTTAGGTAATTTGCTTAGTATTTCCTTTATGTCCAAATCTTCAGGACACTGAGCAGCAGCATCTGGCTCAAATATTTATGTTAAACTTTCAGTATCCAGGCCTGCATGAGCCCAATATGTTACATTAGTGATTACATCCCTTCTCCCCACTTCAACCATGTACAGATTGTCTGAACTGTTGTTTCTGATGAAGTTCAAAGGAGCTTCCACTTTTGCCATGCCAACATGAGACAGTACCTATGCAATATGTTAATGAGGCTAGGTGCTGGTGCCTCATTAACTGCAGGGGAACTTCAGCAGTGGTGTTTGACTAGGGCAGGGAGTTGAGGGTGGGGTGCAGGAGAGGTTCAGGCTCCAGCCCGGCGCCACTTATCTAAAGCGGCTCTGGGGTGGCAGCGGCGCGCACTGGGGCCAGGGCAGGCTCCCTGCATGCCTGCCCTGTCCTCAGCCCCACGCCGCTCCAGGAAGTGCTGCGGCCTGGGGACGGGTGGAGGGCTCTGTGTGCGCTGCCCTTGCGGCGCCTCCAGGTACCTCCCCCGAAGCTCCCATTGGTTGCGGTTCCCCGTTCCCGGCCAATGGGAGCTGCGGGGGGGCGGGGCCTGGAGGCAAGGACAACACACGGACCCTTCTGCCCCCCGACCCGGGGACCGCAGGGAAGTGGTGCTGGCCGCTTTTGAGAGCAGTGCGGGACCCACGGTGCCAAGGGGGGCAACCCCGCGGGCTGGATCCAAAGCCCTGATGGGCCGGATCCAGCCTGTGGGCCGTAGTTTGCTCACCACTGAGCTATCACATTCTCTTCTCTGGGATTGCTTGTCTGCTCATACCATTCATTGTATGCAGGGTTGTTTTAGCCCAGTCGGTCCCAGGGTATTTATTAGAGAGACAAGGTAGGTGAGGTAATATCTTTTATTGGACCAACTTCTGTGTGAGAGAGAATCAAGCTTTCAAGCTGTGTGAGCAGAAAGCTTATCTCTCTCAGCAACAGAAGGTGAGTCTAATAAAAGATTATCTCACTTCCCCACCCCAATACCATTAGCAGTTACTTTGCCCCTCTCCTGGGTAGGTTGCTTTAATATGTTAATTTTGGCTTTCACACCTTTGATTTAATCAATATTCGCCTAAAGTTCCTTTTTCTGATTTGTAAATGGGTCACGTTTGGAGACTCCCTTTTCCCCTAGGAGGAGATGCTACTTTGTGACTGGTTTTCTGTATAGGGTGATTGCACAGAATTACATGCTACTGCCCTAGCACATGCTCCTGTGCTATTTCTCTACCTCATCAGTGGTTTCTCTGCCTTACAGCAGTGTGCAGCTTCTCAAACAAGGTCTCATCTGCAGCCTGATTATCTTTTAAATAAAGTTGCATCACAGTCCAAATGTTGCCATTCTGCAATCCTGTCAGGACTGAATAGAGAAACTTGTGTTGTATAAGAATAGGGTGATATCTTAGGTCAGAGTCAGATTCTTGTGAAGCAAACTATATTTCCTGTCTCAAATCAAGAGCTCGGACTAGGAAATCCTGAGGTGTCTCTTCGGGCTCTTGTGCTGTTCTTGAGAGCTGCAGGTAAAGTTCAGTTGCATCTTTTTCCTGGTAATAGGATCTTAAGATACACCTCTGTTTTGGCAGGCTCAGATTAGCTGAGGCTCAGTCCTGGGCAAACTGCCCTGATCACAGCTTCTGTGATCTCTGCCTCAGCGTACCCCCTTTTGAATCCCACTTTCAATGTAATAGACCAGACTAGTTAGGCTTAATATGCCCTTTTGGTGGGAGTTCCCACTCTGTCCTGTTGTTTTAAAATCTTTCTTTAAAATTGGGTCTGTTTTCTGAGTTGAGGGTGACAGATTTTCTATAGAGGTTTGGCTTTTAATTTTTCACACAGCTTGAAATACAGTTTCAGAAAATATCTTCATTTTTCAGCATACTGGTTCTGAGCTCCCTCTACTTCAGATGTTCCAGTTTGCTTCTTTGCTTACAGCAATGAGATATAAAAGCTTATCTTTTAATCTCAGCAGTCTATACAATCCTTGATCTTTCAACTCTTCCCACTCATTTAAGTAGCTTCTTCTATATTTGATTAAAACAAAATTAGGGTGATCGTATTTCCCAAAGTGAAAATGGGACATGGTTTGGGGCTAGCCTGAGTCCTTCCTCCCACCCCCTGCATCAGGCTGTCCCGAGCCCCCCTCCCTGCATAGGGCCTGCCCAAGCCGCTCGCCCGAGCCCCCTCCCTTTGTGGGGCTCGCCAGAGCCGCTCGCCAGAGCCATTCGCCCGAACCCCCCTCCCCGCACGGGGCTGACATCAGCGTTGCTGCTTGCCTGAGCCCTGCGCGAGGCTGGGGCTGGTGTCGCTGCTCGCCCGAGCCCTGGTTGTCCCCCTGCCCAGGGCTGGTATCACTGCTTGCCCTCTTGCACGTTCCTCTGCACCCCACTTTTTTGACAAAAGTGGGCATTTGTCCCATTTGCTCTTGCCAACTGATCAAGTTGGCAACAGCAAATGGGACAAATGCCCACTTTTGCAAAAAAATCGGGACGGTCAGGACAGGGCTTAAAAAAGGAACTGTGCTTGCCAAAATGGGATGTATGGTCACCCTAAGCAAAATGTTTTTTTGCTGCATTTTCACAGTAACTTGTCCCAGAAATGCTCAAAGAGTCACAGACTTCTCTTAAATGCTCATCCTTTGGCTGGTATAAAAGTCTGTCTACCTCCCTGTGAAGGTCCTGTAACTCTTTCCCAGCCATAATGCTTGCAAACAATTAAATCTTCCCTGGCAGCTTTTCCTGGAATAGTCTACAGCAGCTTCAGGTAGGGTCATCTCTCAAAGAGGTCAGATCACTGCATTCAGCTTCTCCTGTCTGTGCTTGTTAAGTGTTACATTCCCATAACAGAGGCCAGTTCCAAACTGGAGTTTAATAAAACTTTGCTGCTGCAACCAGTGCTATCGCCTTTGACACCTTCAGCAGATCTTCAGCCCTTAATGGGAGAAGGACAATGCACAGGTAAATCTAACTCTGACATTTCTGTGTGAGTGCCATACCTCTACATCCAACAGTGATGGAGACGTATGTTATGTGGGCCTTCCCAGAAGATCTGAGCACATGTTCTTTGTAGCACTCTAAACTCCTGCTAGCCTGGGAAGACTAAGACTAATTGACACTGTGCTCTCATATTTGGCGAATGGTTCTTAAAATCCAAAAATACTGTGTTCATTTAAATTTTAATAAACAAAAATAAAGCCATTAGATCATCAGAACATGTTTTTAATATTAAGGTGTGCAATGCATTTTATCTAATCTCTGATTTTATACACTGCCTGTCACCATGGCATCTGAGCTCTTCTCACTGCTCAAAAAACGTTAGGCCTGATCTTTCAGAAATGCTGATCATTTGCAGCTCCTGCTGACATCAGCTAGAGTTGTGGCTAATCAGCACCTCGGAAAATAAGCCCCCTAACGTCTAAGCTTCAACCAAATTGATGTTGGCCTTTTAACTGTTGTACATTTAAATGTACTTATGTGTTTCCATAGGTGAAGACTCTTGGAGAGAGGGTGGTTCTGTATGTTCTGAATCGAATTATTTATCGCAAACAAGAAATAGAGCGAAATGAGATCCCCTTCCTCTGTCACAGCAGCAATGACTATGCTAAGATTCTGTGGAAAAAAGGAGAAGCCATTGGGTTCTATTCTGTTAAACCTGCAGGTAAAAACATTTAAGTATTTTTTTAATAAAGCAATGGAAAACCAAACTCTTTTATCAGAACTTTTAAGCTGCACTAATGTGTGTGATTGATACATGAACCTTTTCTTGAATTCTTAGAGCAGACAAGGTTTTGGGTAAAATTTTCAAAAGTGACTTTAGGCTCTGAAATCACTTACGCTTTATTTATTTTTTTTAATTTTGCCCATAGTCTTTTTAGTAGCCATTATGCCCAGGACTCCAGGTTTCAAAATTTTTGATTCCTGTACACACTCCTTCTCAGTCAGCAATTACCGTCAACATTGCCTTTACTGTCACAGCGAAACCCATATCGTGGCAAGGTGCAGTATCTGCTGTTTGTTCCTCAGTTGTACCCAAGAAGGGTGGGAACTTCGTCTTAAGAAGTACCTAATGGAAAAGGCCTTGAGGCTGCAGTCATACCTAGGCCAGGAGGACCTCTCCCTACTTCAGCTTGACTCAATAAGGTGTGTGTCTCATGCCACGGGGTCCGACTCAGGAGTGAGGGAGTCTACCCCCACAGATCTCTTGGTGGGGTCTTGTCAGGAGGACAGGGAGCGTTTTTATAAATATAAGAGTAAATCCTCCTCCAAATCCACTTAGAAGAAGTCGAATAGAGCCCTGCCTAAATTGAGCAAGTCTTCTAGCTCAATCCAAGAGAATTTAGAACGTCCTAAGTTTCAGGGGCATGACAAGAAAGCCCACAAATCTAGGGCTCTGTCCGTACCAGACCACAATTTGGCGACAATAGTGTCTACAGTACCATCCATTGTCAGTTGGTCTGGAAGCGTGGCTTCAAACAGTGTGCTCACCAAATCAGCCATGAACACACTAGTAACTATTCCCACCAAATTAATAATATTTCTGTTATGGTGGAAGACTCCATGCCAAGAATGCATAGGCGTGCCATTCCTTTCCTCCTCACTGGACAGGATGATCATTACAGATACCTCTGTGATGGGTTCAGTCACAAAGACCCCCTTGGGACTGTCACCTGATGTGCTGAAACTACCTATGAGCCCATTTTCCCTGCCAGCTTGGGACTCCAGAACCCTGACTTGTTGAGCCAGACACTCTATTCTGCTCCAGCACAGATGCTGGGTCTGAACCACGTCCCCAAAACTGCAGGCTTTAACTGAAAACCACTCAGCAGGTACTCCTACCTTTAGCACCCAGCTCCCAATGGGACCCAAACCCCGAATGAATCCGTTTTACCCTGTATAAAGCTTATACAGGGTAAACTCATAAATTGTCCGCCCTCTATAACACTGATAGAGAGAGATGCACAGCTGTTTGCTCACCCAAGAATTACTTACTTACTCTGGGTTAATTAATAAGCAAAAGTGATTTTATTAAATATAAAAAGGTAGGATTTAAATGGTTCCAAATAATAACAGACAGAACAAAGTAAGTTACCAAGCAAAATAAAACAAAACACGCAAGTATAAGCCTAATACAGTAGGAAACTGAATACAGGTAAATCTCACCCTCAGAGATGTCCCAATAAGCTTCTTTCACAGACTAGACTCCTTCCTAGTCTGGGCCTAATCCTTTTCAGACTAACGTTGTGGCTTATGGCCTGGGTCCAGCAATCACTCACATCCCCTTAGTTATAGTCCTTTGTCCCAGTTTCTTTCAGGCCTTTTTTGGGGTGGAGAGGCCATCTCTTGAGCCAGCTGAAGACAAAATGGAGGGGTTTCCAGGGCCTTGGCAGAAACCCCTTTGTTCTTCTGTGCAAAATCACAGCAACAAGATGGAGTTTGTAGCCACCTGGGCAAGTCACGTGTCCATGAATGATTCAGTTTTTTTGCAGGCCGACGCCATTGTTTACATGTTAGTTTGAACGTTCCCAGGAAAGCTCAGATGTGGATTGGTGTCTCCCAAAGTCTATTGTCAGTTAAGTGTTTCTTCATTGGGCACTTACTGAGAATAGTCCTTTCTCAAGAAGCTGACCAAATGCTTCACTGATGCTACTTAGAATCAAATACATTGAGATACAAGTACATAGCCAATATTTATAACTTCAAATACAAAAATGATACACACATATAGACAGCATAATCATAACCAGCAAATTACAGCCTTCCCATAAGCACCTTACTTGACCTACTTTGTACAAGATTTGGCGCAATTATAGGACCTTGGTTGTTGCAATGATCTATATGGTCACAGTTCATGTCAATAACGTCACAACCTCCTTGTTAGATTAGGCAGCTCATATTGGCAACCACACAGCACAAGGCACTCGATATCTCGAGAGCCCAAATAGAAATCTCCCAAGCTGTCTGTCACCGAACCAGAAAGTGTTCAAGGTCAAGCTATAACCTCTCAAAGAATCTTGAAATATATCTCAGGCTGTATTTTGTTCTCTCTCCCTCTCACTCATGGGGTGAGGGTTCATTCCACAAGAGTACAAGTGACGTCTATGGCATCACTTCAAGAAGAACCTCTACATGATATTTGCAAAGCAGCTATGTGGCGTTCCATCAACACATTTGTGAGGCGTTATGTTTAGTACAAGACTCCTCTGCCGATAATTCTTTTGGAATGGCAGTCCTTGCTTCTGCTCTGCAATCTGTATCCTTGCACCCTCCTCCTACTTGAGTACTGTTTGCACTCACCCAAATTGGAATACATATAGGGACCAGTACTCAAAGAGGAAGTTACTTACCTTCGTAACTAGAGGTCCTTCAAGATATTTGGTCCCGATCTGTATTCCATTACCCGCCCTCCTTCCCCGCTGCTTCGAATCATCTTTTGATTCATGGCAGAGAAGAAACTGGAGAGGCAATCGGTCTGCCCCACTCCAATCTCTTTGGTTGGAGACATGAGGAGAGTGAAGGTACATGCCAGACCGACAGGCACTGCTTTCAGAATTCTCCCTCTCTGGGTGCATAGAGCACATGCGTACCTCACAGTAGAATACAGATAGGGACCACATGCCTTGAAGAACCTCCAGTTACAAAGGTAATTAGCTTCTTATATCCCCATAACTCAAGAGGCAGAAATCTTGTCCAGTACCCTTCTAATACTGAAGATGTACAGTAGTGCTGCATAAAGACACATATGTGGGTCATAGGGGATGATATTTTGTGCACAGTTTAATATATTTTGGATATGGTCAGATCAATCTGGTGAGGGTGAAATTCACCCAGATTGTGGAAGTTGCAAACATTAATGCTGTATTGTGCATATTTAGGGTCTGATCCTGCAATTCCCGTGTGCAGAACTCCAGTTGATCTCAGGGTGGCTGCAGGGTCAGGTCTCATTATTGCTGTTCCTTATTTGTGTGTATTGTGCTAGTGCCTAGGACCCCAGTCACAGACCATGACCCCATTGTGCTAGGCGCTGTACAAACACAGAACAAAATGATTGGTCCAAGGGGCTTACAATTTAAGTAGCATGTTTCTTTGTCATTAACATTGCTTTATAGATAGTTCTCTCATTTTTTCTCACTGCTTAAATATACATTATAAGTTCTCTATGATTGTTACAAAACTTGATTGCATTTTTCAACTTTTGCTGAATTAAATCTAACTTAATTGTAAATAATTTGTTGATCACACCGACAGCCCTCCTTAAAGAATAGAATATCTAATTTTGGGCCAGAGTGGCATGATCTAACATCCTAACTTTATCCTAGTCCCAGTAGAAGGTTTTTGGATTAACGTCAGGGAAATTCGTGGTGAATTGCAACTGTTGTACAGCTAAGTGCACCAGAAGGGTTTTATGCTTTCCTCTGAAGCATCTGGCCTTGTCCACAGTCAGAAACATGATATTGGGCCAGATGGGCCATTGATCTGTTCCAGTATGCCAATTCCTGTGGGGAAGGTAATTGGCAGATGGCATGTCTTTGTTCTGTTTATCAATATTGTGCCTTTGTGCACGTATCTATGAAACTGCTCAGGTCCTAATAGAGCAATTTTCAAGCTAAAAGTTAAGCCAACACAATGATCACGAAAATGACTTCTGAGTTGAAATGTTAATACTTTATTCTACTTTCTATACAACCGATTTTATTAGATTCTGAGTGATGAAGGAGTGTTTATAATAAATATTTGTTCCATATACATTGTGGCAATTAGATCATGCAACTACAATTACTTTTCATGTTATTCTACCATTTACTAATCCTGAGCTAATAAACATCCAAGACTATTTGAATATGAAATACTGTTCTACTTCATGGGTTTTTTTTCTCTTTCTGTGGCGATAGACTGAGATATAGTCCAGTGGTCAGACCACAGGACTGGGACTTACTCCTGTTTTTCTAATTTCATCTCTGATGTGGACTCACTGTATAACCTTAGACAAATAACTTAATCTCTCGTGACTGAGTTTTTCTTGCTTTGCAAATGAGAAAAGCAACTGACCTCACAAAAGTATTGTGAGGACTAATTAATTAATGTCTGTGACGAGTACTATATATGAGATTTTTATTATTATTTTACTTGGATTGTAAACTCTTTAGGGTAGGGACAATCTTTTCTTTGTGTGCACAGGGCCTAGCACCATGGAGTTCCAATCCTGCCTTGGGATCAGTATTTACCACTGTAATACAAATCCAGATAAATAACATTTATTACTCTGATACCAGTGAGTTCATGGTTACTCTTCAAGAATTTTTCAATACTAAAATTGCTATGTTGTGTCACAGTGCACCTGTTCTTAATTATAATTATGTGTAATCCATGCTATGCTATGAAAAAATCCCTTCTTACAAAATTTTGCCTTGACTTCAGCATTATTGATGTTTCATAAAAAATTGGTGGGGGGATGATGATTTGTGTTTCAGTTCTTAAATGAGAGCTGACTTCCATACTTATGGGTTTGTTTTTAAACAGTTTTTTAATCTTATGTAAAAACAATATATTTGGATTGAGCCTTTTGGCTTTTTCTTCCATCTTTTCATTTCATTCTCTTTTCCAGATTTCCTCAAGAAATAACTCAGCAGGATTCCAAAATGTGCCTTTTCCCCCACTACCTTCTCCTCTGTAGCCTTCCATTCTTTATCGTGTAGCAGTAGGCCACTATACCAGACAAGCTTTCTTACGTTGTGTTGCCTGCTGTAAAGCTGCAAAAATACAAAGTTGGCCCAACAAGCCAGTGAATGGCTGAATGTGGCTACTATGTGTACAGTACATCTATTATCATCAGGATACAGTAAAAGCCAAGCCATTATATGTTGTTGATGATCTAAAACTATGACAAATCAATGATGAAATACTGATGTATGGTTTTTCCATGATTTCAGGAAGCATATGTAGCTCCTATCTTACCCAAAGCTATCAGCTTCCAGTGCTGGACACAATGTTTGTGAGAAAGAGACATCGTGGGAAAGATTTTGGGTTAATGATGTTGGAGGATTTTGTGGATTCCTTTACTGAAGACACACTTGGTCTTCGCTACCCACTGTCATCCTTCATATATACAGGTAAACTCTGTAATTTTTTTCCTGTCTTCTCTACTCTGGCTTTCTTTAAACTTCCAAATAAATACTTCCATCTCAGTTCAACATGGAAGGAAGAGATTAAATTTCTTAAAGTTCATGACAAACTTTAAATAAATATAAAATATGCTGCTATTCAATGAACCTTAAAAAGTCAGATGGAGAATGTGCATGCTGCTTTATTTTCTTGTAATCCTTGAATTTCTGTTGGTTAGTATTATATCTTCGGCTGTCGATTAATCGCAGTTAACTCATGTGATTAACTCAAAAAAAATTAATCACGATTAATCGCAGTTTTAATCACACTGTTAAACGATAGAATACCAATTGAAATTTATTAAATATTTTGGATGTTTTTCTACATTTTCATATAGTATTCTGTGTTATAATTTAAATCAAAGTGTATATTGTTTATTACAAATATTTGCACTGTAAAAATGATAAAAGAAATAGTATTTTTCAATTTACCTCATACAAGTACTGTAGTGCAATCTCTTTGTAGTGAAAGTGCTAGTGTCAGGGTGTCCCCCTCCCCCCGCTCCTGTACCCCATCTCCACAGAGTGTGGGGGGGGGGAACACACGACACAACAGGGCTCAGGACGGAAGGAGCTTGCTGGCAGCAGCTGCAGAGTACTTAGAGTGGGGTCAGTGTACTTAAAGGAGAAATGTGTGTCTCTTGCACGCTCACACTCATGGTGTGTGTCTCTGTCTCTCGCTGCCATGCTGTCTCCTCCCTCCATTCATGCTGCTTTGTAGAGTGTGAGGCTACATTAACAACAATGTGTTAACCCTTGAGGGCTCAGCTGGGTGTCAGTTCATCATTTAGCAGTAAGGCATTCTCTGGGAAATATCCCACCCTCTGACTCCACCCTCAACCAAGCTTCACAATCATCATTGCTGTGTACAGTATTAAATTGTTTGTTTAAAACTTATACTGTGTATACGTGTGTGTGTGTGTGTGTGTGTGTGTGTGTGTGTGTGTGTGTGTGTGTATATTAGTCTTTTGTCTGGCAAAAAAAATTTCCCTGGAACCTAAGCCCCGCTATTTACATTAATTCTTATGGGGAAATTGGATTCGCTTAACAGCGTTTTGCTTAAAGTAGCATTTTTCAGGAACACAACTACAACGTTAAGCAAGGAGTTATTGTAACTATTTTGTAATACCCAGAAATGCTTCCTAGAAGACAGGGGGGAAAACCTGCAGTCCCTGCCCCCTTAATCTTACAATCTAAATTTAAGACATAGTACAATGATGGAAGGTGATAAATAAAAGGACGGGACTGAGTTCTAGATGGATGAGGATTACAGAAATGTTATCATATAGTTACTCAGGTTAGACATGTGCACATCTTAGTGGCTCAGTTCCTTTTTGTTTGTGATGTATTATAAGTATGATAAAGTAGAAGGTCAGATTATAATTGACTCAATAAAATAGTGTTTGAATAATATCTTAAGCTGAGTTACAGATGTGCATACTGTGTGGTGTGGTTTTGTTTTATTTATGTTTCTTCAGCTTGTAAGCAATATTTTGAAAAGTACCCAGGGGATCATGATCTTCTATGGGAAGTTGAAGGAGCAGGACACTGGTTCCAGAGAACACCTATTACCAGTGTATTGCAGAGAGAAACACTCAAAACTACAGGTAATGATTGTTTAGAAACAGGGCCAGGAAACTATTGAAACTTGAAAAGTAAAGTTACATTGTACAGTGTCTACAATAATTTTTGTAGACAGTCCTCATTGTGAACAATCCCCACAGAAGTCATTGGAAAGACACCAGCTAACTTCATTATTTAAATTGTATCTGCACTTTTTTTCTGTTGAATTTTTCTAAGAGCAGGAGGCTCTCAAAAAGAAAACAACAGTTCCCAGACTGAGGAGTGTTTTCTGCCGTCTGCCATGGAATCTGAAACGGGAAGCGAACAAAGTACAGAGATTGAAACGCAGCTAAGGGTAGGTGTACACACTGTTTTCTGTATACATAAAAACCAAGAGATTTTACAGATTTGTATAATTTATATCTTCATATTCTTCTGGTTTCCTTAATTACTTGTTCTGTAAAATCTTTTACTGAAGAGAAAGAGATGGGTCTCCATATAGGAAGTTATATATTTTTTAATAATCCATTTTTAAACTTCTAATTAGAGAGCAAACTTCTAATTAGAGATACTGGATAAACTTTTGGGAAAAATATAGATGATTCTTAGGAAATTGATTATAAAATCCATTAATTTAATAAAAGTGTGTGCCCTCCTTGTTCAGTACTCCTGCTTTATCCCCCATTTTCCTGTGCTCCTCTCCCTCAGTAAGTCCTTTTCAGGAATCCAGCTTGAACTTCCAGTATCTCTTCAGTGTTCTCTGGGCCTGTGAGCCTGGACTATAGCCTTTCTTTTGAACCATCCAGTCCATCAAAACCCATAACTTTTTATCAGATTACCCTTGAAGACATAGTTGTGGCTTCAGTGAGAAGGCCAGAAACATACTTATTGTGAAATTTTGTTGTAGTTGAACTAAATTGACATGGGTGTCAGGAGCTATGAAAGACGCATGCTTTTGTTACACTTGGGTTAATGTTACCTTTTTCAGCGAAGCAGCACTGGCTTGTTGCTTAGACATTACAAATTCACCTAGTGTTAATAGAATATTAGGATGCATCTTGTACTATCGTTTTTTTCAACCAGTGCTCTCTTTGTATGCTATAGGATAGGGTATGAGATAGCCTTAGTGGTGTCTAGTAACTTGCACTGGTAGATTGTTATAGGTTTGGGGGAGGAGGGTATTTCAATTGCTTTCCTCCCCCACCCTGCAGTCTTGGGATGTGTGAATATCCAGACTATGACACTTAGGCCTGGTCTACACTAAGAGTTTAGGTCGAATTTAGCAGCGTTAAATCGAATTAAGCCTGGATACGTCCACACGTCGAAGCCCTTTTTTTTTTTTACTTAAAGGGCCCTTTAAAACGGTTTCTTTACTCCACCTCCGAGGGGATTAGCGCTGAAATCGGCATTTGCGGGTCGGATTTGGGGTAGTGTGGACGGAATTCGACGTTATTGGCCTCCGGGAGCTATCCCACAGTGCTTCATTATGACCGCTCTGGACAGCACTCTCAACTCAGATGCACTGACAAGGTAGACAGGAAAAGCCCCGCGAACTTTTGAATTTCATTTCCTGTTTGCCCAGCGTGGAGAGCACAGGTGACCACGCAGAGCTCATCAGCACAGGTAACCATGATGGAGTCCCAGGATCGCAAAAGAGCTCCAGCATGGACCGAACGGGAGGTACGGGATCTGCTCGCCATATGGGGAGACGAATCAGTGCTAGCTGAACTCCGTAGCAGTAAACGAAATGGCAAAATATTAGAAAAAGTCTCAAAGGCCATGAAGGACAGAGGCCATAACAGGGACGCACAGCAGTGCCGCGTGAAAATTAAGGAGCTAAGGCAAGCCTACCACAAAGCCAGAGAGGCAAACAGAAGGTCCGGGGCAGAGCCGCAAACATGCCGCTTCTACACGGAGCTGCATGCCATGCTAGGGGGTGCAGCCACCACTACCCCAACTGTGTGCTTTGACTCCATCAATGGAGAATCACGCAACAGGGAAGCGGGTTCGGGGTACGAGGAAGATAGCTCACAGCAAGGAAGCGGAGAAACCGGTTTCCCCAACAGCCAGGATATGTTTATCACTCTGGACCTGGAACCAGTAACCCCCGAACTCACCCAAGGCGTGCTCCCAGACCCTGAGAGCACACAAGGGACCTCTGGTGAGTGTACCTTTGTAAATATTACACATGGTTTAAAAGCAAGCGTGTTTAGTGATTAATGATTAATTTGTCCTGGCAATTGCGGCCAGTACAGCTACTGGAAAAGTCTGTTAACGTATATGGGGATGGAGCGGAAATCCTCCAGGGACATCTCCAGAAAGCTCTCCTTCATGTACTCCCAAAGCCTTTGCAAAAGGTTTCTGGGGAGGGCTGCCTTATCCCGTCCGCCATGGTAGGACACTTTACCATGCCAGGCCAGTAGCACGTAGTCTGGAATCATTGCATAACAAAGCATGGCAGCGTATGGTCCCGGTGTTTGCTGGCATGCAGACAACATCCATTCCTTATCTTTCTTTGTTATCCTCAGGAGAGTGATATCATTCACGGTCACCTGGTTGAAATGGGGTGATTTTATTAAGGGGACATTCAGAGGTGCCCGTTCCTGCTCGGCTGAACAGAAATGTTCCCCGCTGTTAGCCACGCGGTGGGGGGGAGGGGGGAAGTGATCATCCCAGAGAATTGGGTGTGTGTGTGGGGGGGGGGGGAAGTTGGGTTTGTGCTGCATGTTAACCCGGAAACCGCAGCCCCTCCTTTTACATTGCAAACCCATTTTAAATGGCCAACCCAACGGGTGCTTGGTATGGGAAATGAGGGCGCTGCTGTTTGAAACCATTCCCACATGTTATGAAGGTTAAAAAAGCCAAAAGACTGTGGCTTACCATGGCTGCCTGCAAGCTGAATTCTGTTGCCTGGCACTGCGTGAGTGATCTCTCACACCAAACCGGCAGGCCCTCAATATAAAAGGAAAAATACGACCTTGTAACGAAAGCACGTGCTGTGTAATGTGAACAGCAAAATTTAACGTGAAAGAGTGTACCCATTGTTCTCTAAAATGTGTCTCTTTTTTAATCACCTCTCCCTTCTCCTCCACCAGCTGCAAATGTTTCTCCTTCGCAGAGGCTAGTGAAGATTAGAAGGAGAAAACTGCGGACTCAGGATGATATGTTCTCGGAGCTCCAGATGTCCTCCCACGCTGACAGAGCACAGCAGAATGCATGGAGGCAGTCAATGTCAGAGTGCAGAAAAGCACAATATGAACGAGAGGAGAGGTGGCGGGCTGAATCGCGGGCTAAAGAGAGCAAGTGGCGGGCTGAAGAGGATAGGTGGCGTCAGATTGCTGACAGAAGGCAAGAGTCGATGCTCCGGCTACTGGAGCATCAAACTGATATGCTCTAGCGTATGGTTGAGCTGCAGGAAAGGCAGCAGGAGCAGATACCGCCGCTACAGCCCCTGTGTAACCAACAGCACTCCTCCCCAGGTTCCATAGCCTCCTCACCCAGACGCCCAAGAACGCAGTAGGGGGGCCTCCGGCCACCCAGCCACTCCACCCCAGATGATTGCCCAAGCATCAGAAGGCTGGCCTTCAATAAGAGTTAAAGTGTTAAAGTTTTAAACTGCAGTGTGTCCTTGTCCTTCACTCCTCCCCCACCCCTCCCGGGCTACCTTTGCAGTTGTGTGATGAATTAATAAAGAATGCATGAATGTGAAGTAACAATGACTTTATTGCCTCTGCAAGCGGTGCTCGAAGGGGGGAGGGGAGGGTGGTTAGCTTACAGGGAAGTACAGTGAACCGGGGGGGGGAGGGGGAAGGGTTCATCAAGGAGAAACAAACAGAAGTTTCACACTGTAGCCTGGCCAGTCACAAAACTGGTTTTCAAAGCTTCTCTGATGCGCACCGCGCCCTGCTGTACTCTTCTAACCGCCCTGGTGTCTGGCTGCGCGTAATCAGAGGCCAGGCGATTTCCCTCAAACTCCCAACCCGCCATAAATGTCTCCCCCTTACTCTCACAGATATTGTGGAGCGCACAGCAAGCAGCAATAACAATTGGAATATTGGCTTCGCTGAGGTCTATCCGAGTCAGTAAACTGCGCCAGCGCGCTTTTAAACGTCCAAATGCACATTCTACCACCATTCGGCACTTGCTTAGCCTATAGTTGAACAGGTCCTGACTACTGTCCAGGCTGCCTGTGTACGGCTTCATGAGCCATGGCATTAAGGGGTAGGCTGGGTCCCCAAGGATAACGATAGGCATTTCAACATCCTCAACGGTTATTTTCTGGTCCGGGAAGAAAGTCCCTTCCTCCAGCTTTTGAAACAGACCAGAGTTCCTGAAGATGCGAGCATCATGTACCTTTCCTGGCCATCCCACGTTGATGTTAGTGAAACGTCCCTTGTGATCCACCAGGGCTTGCAGCAGCATTGAAAAGTACCCCTTGCGGTTTATGTACTCGGTGGCTTGGTGCTCCGGTGACAAGATAGGCATATAGGTTCCGTCTATCGCCCCACCACGGTTTGGGAATCCCATTGCAGCAAAGCCATCCACTATGACCTGCACGTTTCCCAGAGTCACTACCCTTGATACCAGCAGCTCTTTGATTGCATTGGCTACTTGGATCACAGCAGCCCCCACAGTAGATTTGCCCACTCCAAATTGATTCCCGACTGACCGGTAGCTGTCTGGCGTTGCAAGATTCCACAGGGCTATCGCCACTCGCTTCTCAACTGTGAGTGCTGCTCTCATCCTGGTAATCTGGTGCTTCAGGGCAGGGGAAAGCAAGTCACAAAGTTCCATGAAAGTGCCCTTACGCATGCGAAAGTTTCGCAGCCACTGGAAATCGTCCCACACCTGCAACACGATGCGGTCCCACCAGTCTGTGCTTGTTTCCCGGGCCCAGAATCGGCGTTCCACGGCATGAATCTGCCCCAGTAACACCATGATTTGCACATTGCTGGGGCCTGTACTTTGTGAGAGGTCTATGTCCATGTCAATTTCCTCATCACTCTCGTCGCCGCGCTGCAATCGTCTCCTCGCCTGGTTTTGCTTTGGCATGTTCTGCCTCTGCCTATACTCCAGGACAATGCTCGTGGTGTTCATAGTGCTCATAATTGACGCGGTGATCTGAGCGGGCTCCATGATCCCAATGCTATGGCTTCTGGTCTGAAAAAAGGCGCGAAACTATTGTCTGACGGAGGGAGGGAGGGACGAGTGACGACATGGCTTACAGGGAATTAAAATCAACAAAGGTGGTTGTGCATCAGGGAGAAACACAAACAACTGTCACACAGAATGGCCCCCCCCAAAGATTGAACGCAAAACCCTGGGTTTAGCAGGCCATTGATTTCACGCAGGGAGGGGGAAGCAAATGAATACAGAACAAATCTGGTCCATCTATTTTTTTACATCTTAAACTGGCAGCAGACGGTGCAGCATGACTGATAGCCATCGGCATCTTCTGGGTGCTTGGCAGAAGATGCTGTATTACGACTGCTAGTCATCATCGTCAAGACGGTTCAATAGGACCGCCGGCAGGACTGAGTCTCCAGGAGACAAAACATGTCTGCCCAGGTGCCTCTGACTGAACTCACTGAGGAGTACGACGACGACGGATACCAGTCATAATACACCATCCACTGCCAAAAGGCAATTAGCTGCTGCTGTACAGCAATGCAGTACCACATCTGCCAGCACCCAGATAGCCGATGACGGCTATCAGTCATACTGCACCGTCTACTGCCAAAAGGCAATTAGCTGCTGCTGTGTAGCAATGCAGTACCACGTCTGCCGGCACCCAGAGGACATATGGTGACGGTGAGGTGAGCTGAGCTGAGCGGGCTCCATGCTTGCCGTGGTATGTTGTCTGCACAGGCAACCCAGGTAAAAAGGCGCGAATCGATTGTCTGCCGTTGCTCTGACGGAGGGGGAGGGGCCTGACGACATGTACCCAGAACCCCCTGCAACACAGTTTTTGCATCATCAAGCATTGGGATCTCAACCCAGAATTCCAATGGGCGGCGGAGACTGCGGGAACTGTGGGATAGCTACCCACAGTGCAACGCTCCGGAAGTCGACGCTAGCCTTGGTACTGTGGACGCGGTCCGCCGACTTAATGCACTTAGAGCATTTTATGTGGGGACACACACAATCGACTGTATAAAACCGATTTCTATAAAGCCGGCTTCTATAAATTCGACCTAATTTTGTAGTGTAGACATACCCTTAGAAGCACTGTAGACACACATAGTGCAAAGGCTGCATTTCTCTGGCATCAGATGGAAGCATCAAATGCATCTGTCTAAGAAGATAGTGTCCATGAAAGTGTATAATCGCATTGTAGATGAACATGATGTAAAGTGTACAGCCTGCATTCAGGTTTATTCAGTTCCCCTGCAGAAGGAATGTGAGTTTCTTTGTGCATATTTGAAACCTCAGCCAAATTTCACCCGCATATGGATATGCAATTGAATATTTTTGTTTGTTGACTATTATGCAGTTGTTAAGAGATGGAAAATTCTACAAGATAAAGCTGCTTGCATACAGTGAATACTGATGAATGTTAATGAGGTATTAGTTTGCATTGTACAAGCCAGTCAGAATGCACTTGGGAGTAAACTTTAATTATGCAAGACTGGTGCCTTAGGCACAAAACCTAGCTACTGAAATCTAAACTTTGTATTCAAAGTAAAATGTAAGTGTCTAGCATGGTTGAGAAGGTTACCTCCCAAAGGTAAACTGAATGCAAACAGATATATAATGTTTTCTTCTTGAGTTTGTAAACAAGCCTGAAACAATAACTCTGAGAGCTGTCATTCATAACAGTAAGTTTCTAACTCTGAAACTTGATTATGATTATTTAAATGTCATCTCTACTGGTAATCATTTTAGCAGAAACAACTGATTAATGCACTTATATAAGGTTGTTGGCTATAGTCACGTATTATGGGGGAAGGAGCAGTGGGCCATTTAATTGCTGTTAAGGCTTGCTGTGGTGGTGAATTAAGAATTCAAGCCCTACCAAAAAAGTCAAGTCACTTGTGCCCCTGTCCAAAAGTTGGAGGGGAAAAAAGAAATGCATCCAATGTCAAAAGCCTAAAATACTTTCTGGAGGCCAGAATCCCAAATCCCAGAATCCCTTCTAAAATACTAGAACTGGCTTTCTCCCTGATGACTGCATTATCAGTACAAAATTCTGAAGGCTTAAGAGTAGTGTAAAATATTAATGTGGAAAACGATTCCCACATGTACCTGTGTATTACGTTATTTTTGTCTATAAAAACACAAGGAATACTGAAGTGATTGTAACACTAATATATAATTAAACAAATCCCTCTATTTAAATTTAATTGACGTTATCTCAATATCAATGTATTACAGAACTCATTGCAACCCACTGGGTCTTGCAGCAGAGGTCTTTGGGGTTGGGTTGGAATTGCAGCAGAGCAGGTGGACATGGCCTCTTTTTAGTGCTAGTTTACCTAAAGTAGCTAATCTAGGGCAATTAATCATAGGTCTGTTTTTAAAACAAGAAGCTTATACTCTGAGAAATTATTGTAAAAATAGATTTGTGGGGTTGGATGCTTGTCTCTCAATGACTGCAGATCTAGTTTGGTCATGAATAAAAAGACGACTCATCTACCCGCTGGCTCTGCAGCCTACACCTAGAATCTAAGGCTGAAGCTCTGTTTTACTCAGCTTGCCACATCATCACCAGTAATAAAGATTTATTAATTTGGTTGATTTTTTTCTTTTAATAATCCCAAACTAGATGTTTTGGGATAGTAAGAATGTGTATTAGTCACTAAGAGAGTAGATCTGATTCTAAATTCACCCAGTGAGCCGATCTCTTTATTGAGAAGATACCATTTTTCCACTTACTCCTTCATCTGAATGTAGTCAGTCTCCCAAAGAGCGACTTTGAATTAATATTCCAGAATGTAACTGGGGGTTAGGAGATGAAGGCATTTCAGTCAGGAGAATAGAATCTCCAGTGGTTCAGACTTTTAAAGTACAGTATGTTTTTCTGCTTTAGGTTGATTCTCAAAAAGGCAAAGACATCTTAGATGCCCAGGCAAGCACTTCTGAAGGTAAAAATAATGTTGAACATCAATATTATGGTTCTTAAATTTTAGTAGGGTAATGGCCCATTTTCACCATTACTTTTAACTTCTCTGTGCCTTGATTTAGTCATCTGCAAAATAGATAAAATTCTAATGCCTCTTTTAGAAGTGTTTTGAGGCCTAAATGATGTTTGTAAAGTACTTTAAGATCCTTGGATGAATGCTAGTATTGTAAATTTATTTTGGTCTGTTTTAAAAAAATCCCATAATGAAATGCTTTTTCACTTAGGCCCTGCATATGCCTACTTTTATGAAAAATACTAAAGTTATTCTCTTACAATCTGCAGATCCATTAGGTATGTGTATTCTTTCATTTACATTCATTTTTTGTATCTTTAAGAGCTTGATGTTACGCCAGTTTCCACTCGAACACGAAGCAGTCATTTAAAACGTCCCAGGATAGGAAAGAGGAGCCAGGAATCTGAAACTGAAACTCCTTCAGGAGAGGATGAAAACCTTCTTTGGATATCAGGAAGCAGGTATTGTGTCACTTTTCATTTTGCAGTTTCAGTGGTGTCAGAGCTGTGGTGTACCTACTCATGTGGTACATGCTATTTCCTATCCCATTAGAAAGCAAAATTGATATACCCTCCCTTCCCCTGCTTTAGTCTGATTTGCTGATTACTTTAAAAACAAAACTCTAGGGGGGGAAAAGCAAGCTGCCGACTCTGAAGTGATCACACTAAAGCAATGGTTTGTGTTTCCATATAAACTCGGCAGATTTTGGGAACGACATTAACAACACTGTGGTGACTAGTTGCACATTCAGCAATTTTTATGGTACTGAAATCTTGAAGAATCAAAGTTTAAATATACATCACTGTGAGAATGTTCTCAGGGGTGTGTGTGTGTGTGTGTGGTATTTGTTAAATGGGAACATATAGAGCTTTTTGCATTCTGACTTCTATCTTGTATGGTACAAAAACTCTTGAAAGGCCACTGAAACCCTGAAACATTGATTGCACAGGCTCCCATGGAGAATAGTAGGGTTAATTAAAAAAGCAAACACAAAAATACTAAAACCCCCTAACTAAAATGAAGAGAATTTTACTGGTTAGGCTCTGAAACATGTTTGGATTGATAAAAGGTATAGACTGATTGAAAGGAAATTAGTTGTATTCTGTTAAAACTACAAGGAGTCCAGTGGCACTTTAAAGACCTACAGATTTATTTGGGCATAAGCTTTCGTGGGTAAAAAACCTCACTTCTCAAGTCACTTCGTTATAGTAATTGGAATGTAGTTTGTGTAAAAATCTACGTTCCTGCAGCATGTCCATCTGACATCTGTTTTCATGACTTGTTGGGGAGGGACAGGTTTCCTTACCGAAACGATCAAGTTCAAAAGACTTGGGCCTGGTCTACACTACGGGATTAATTCGGATTTAGCAGCGCTAATCCGAATTAACCCTTCACCCGTCCACACTACAGAGCCAGTTAATTCGAATTAAAGGGCCCTTTAAATCGATTTCTGTACTCCACCTCGACGAACGGAGTAGAGCCTAAATCGATTTTGTTAATTCGAATTAGGGTTAGTGTGGCCGCACACCACCGAATTACTGTGTTTAAGTTAATGGGGTAGTGTGGCCGCACACCACCGAATTAATGTGGTTAAAAACCGAATTAAGGTGCTTAGTGTGGCCGCGCACAATCGAATTTATACAACCTGTTTCCCAAATTCGAATTATCTAAATTCGGATTAATCCTGTAGTGTAGACATACCCTTAGTGTAGCAAGCGGTGAAACAAAATTAGCTGCGGCAGCGCTTTAACATGGCTTGTGTAGTCGCGGCATAGCGCTGGGAGAGAGCTCTCCCAGTGCTCTTAAAAAAAACCACCTCCACGAGGGGAATAGCTGCCAGCATGGCTGCCAGTGCTGGGACTTTACGGCACTGCAAGTTTCAGCGCTGTAAAGTGCCAGTGTAGACAAGCCCTAAGTGGCTTCACATGTCCTGCATTATCCAGGTTCTGCTTTTTACTTTCCTTGTGAATAGCTAAATGGAACCAGAGATGATATGCTATTATGCACTTATAGACAATATGCTGCTGTAAAATGGACAGTGTTTGGAATATATAAAATTTATTCAGTGATTTCTAACCACCTGTCCCACAGATTGGCAATCAGTGCTTCGAGACTTGTAGCCACAGATAATTGGCTAGTTGGATACTTGGGAAGCTGATGACTATTCTTGAAAATCAGGATATTAGGGTTTGTAGTAAAAATTTTGTGACACCACTGCCATAATCCATCTTGAGAAACTGGTGTGTGTAGTTACAGAACGCTTGTGAAACAACTGTATACAAGTTAATTGTGCACAATATCATTTCTTCATATATACAATCTAAGTGCACTTAAAGATGAAAAATTCCATCATCCCAAAAATAAAAAGTGAACATTTCTGAGACCTCATTACCTGTTGGCTACATCAAAGCTTTACTTTTCCAGCCAATCTGTGTTCTGTCTGCTATCTTGAATTCTAATCCAGTTAGACGTTTTGTAAGCCATATGAAGTTAATGATCATTTTAGCTTTACAAGGCTACTCAAACAATTAAGTCACATAAGACTGATAGTGGTATACCTGCGTTGGGAGAAGCTGGGTCTCTTTTCACAGGGTCCAAATTCTTTTTACCAGAATTAACATTTTATAACTTCAGAAGCTTGCAGCCCTCATGAAGGTGTTCTGATTTCTAGCTTTGAATTCAATGGAAGGAAGATAGAGGCCTCTTTATATATTGGTGCAGCAACAGTCTAGTTGAATAGCTATCTAGTTAGGAGTTGGCCATTTTCAATATATAATTTTATTTATTTAGCTGGGTTCCACACTCCTATATGATGAATGTGTATTATACTAATTAACTTACTGTGGGAGAAAGTTCTCATTATTTAATGGTGTCACTGAGATTGTTAACCTAAAAAAATTAAAAGTGTTTTATTTTCTGTTACAGGTTGGAACCTGTAGCACATACATCTGAAAGCTCAGAAGAGTTAGTAGAAGAATCTGAAGAAAATGTAGTTGAAAATGAAGAGGAAACAGTAGTTGAAAATGAGGACCAGTTAGTATTGGAAACACAAGAGTTCTGTATATCACCACCTGAGAAACAAGATGAGAAAGAGGTAACAGCTAAGACTGGTTGAGGTTCAGTGTAAATAAGGCCCAGGTGGTGGTGGTAGGCTTGAGGAAGCTTTCCATCCACATCTGAGCAGGAGATTGCAACCTTTTGTGTCAAATGTGGTCTTTGCTACCATGATGTGTGCCTTTGCCAACTCTATATGAAATTATTGCAATGCATTTTATGTGGGACTACATCTTAAATCCATTTGGAAGATGAAGCTGGTACAGAGTTATGGTTAGGGAAACTTCCTCCATACTTAATGTGAACATTAGAGTCCACAAGAGCTTCCGTAAGGTGAATCCCCAGCTAGTTTGTTAACTCTGGCAGCAAGAAGTAGCTGGAGCAGAGGCCAGAATCTGGTCTAGTATCTCTAAAGAAAATTAGATGATCCTCAAGGAACCAATGGCTTGCTGTATATCAGAGAGTCCTGTAAATTTTGAAAATGCTTGCTTTAATTTTTATGCTTGAAAAAAGCCAAAACATAAAATATATATATATATATATATAACTGTTTGCATAACACTTTTACTCTGTAACAGAAGTTATGAAGTTAAAGCTAGAAGTAACATTGGTGTCTTGGTAGAATCTCACACCCTGCTGATCAAGTCTTTATGCAAAAGTTCTGCCTCTGAGTTTTTTATGCTGATGTTCTGAACGATGGTTGTGCCCTAGCTTGACTTACGAATGTCACTTTAGGAAACTGAATCAGAGCCACTCAATGGTGAGCTAACAGAAGCGACTATCAAAACATCACTCATGACTGAAGAGGAAACAGCTAGTGAAATACTAGATGGTGATTCAAAATTACAGTCTGACAATCCAGAAGAAGAATCTTTAACTCTGTTTGTTCCGTTAATCCTTGACTCTTCAGCGAAATCTTCTGAAGACACTGCATCAGATAAGGTGAGGGAAGTGCAACAAAATGATATTTTAGGTCTTTTTTTCTGCAATGCATATATTACATTTATGTATTTAATAGGTATAGGCCATGAATTACTTGCAAAAGCAGTTGTCAGAACGTATGGCAAAATCCATAAATAAAATAAGACTGCTGTTTTAGTAATATGCAGTAGCAAGGAATCTGTGTTAATTAAAACTAAGGAAAATGATGCTCTGGTCCAATCTCCCTTAGCAATACTCAAATACATATCTAGTATTTTAGTGGAAGATAACCACATTCAAAAAGCCATCCCTCTGTTGTGGCTAGTAATTTCTCTCAATGCTTAGCTTTGATAAAATGAGTAGGGCAAAATAAAATATATTGCACCAATTATTTGCTGATAAAGTATAAGAAACTTATTTATTTGTAATACCATAGCACCTAAGAGCCCCAGTCCCATGCCAGGACCTCATTGTGCTAGGTCAGTGGCTCTCAAACTTTTTTACTGGTGACCCCTTTCACATAGCAAGCCTCTGAGTGCGGACCCCCCCCCCCATAAATTAAAAACACTTATTTATATATTTAACACCATTATAAATGCTGGAGGCAAAGCGGGGTTTGGGGTAGAGATTGACAGCTCGCGACCCCCTGAGGGGTCCCGACCCTCAGTTTGAGAACCCCTGTGCTAGGTGCTGTACAAAAACAGAAGATCCCTGCCCCAAAGAGCTTTACAATCTATCTAAGACAAGAGATGATGCAGACAGACGGGAGTACAAGGAAATGAGACAGTATTGATCACCATGATGCAGTGGTCTCAGGACTGTAGCAACTGAACTGTTGCCAAGTTTTTTGTAGGCAAGAGTTTTAAGGAGGATAATGTAGTTTTGTGGATGTGCACGAGTAGCTGCTCCCAAGAGTGGGGAGCAGCATGGGAGAAAGCACAAAGATGCTTGTTTGAAAATTGAATAGTGGGCGATGATGGCTGGCATCATGGGCCAATCGGAGGTGGGAGTCAACCTTTTGATACTGCATGAGAGATGATCGGTAGAGTGTGGATAGGTCTTGAAGGGCCTTGACAGCGAAGACAAGTAATTTACGTTTGATACAATAGAGAGGGAGATCCACGTCCCAAGGAATTTACAATCTAAATTCACAGACAGTTATAGGCACCACGCAGAATGCTAACTATTGGAACAAGTACATATGCTTACTCTGCACTAATTTCTAAGTGTGCCCCATTGTGCCTGAGTGATCCTCTGAATTTTTGTATTTCAAAGCTTTAGAAAAAAATCAGATAATGTCAAGGCCCTAAGCCAGGAAGATGGCTTGTGTGAGGGGAAGGAGAAGATTGTTAATGGTGCACCCAATGCTGTAAATTGCTGAGTGCTTCAACTCCCACTGCGAGCTGAGGGTGTTCAGCACCTTGCAGGGGAAGACCCAGAGCCTGTACCATCTCAAGAACATGTGAATTGTCCCATTGATTGTTTTGACTCTTATTTTTTCCTCAGGTTATGAACACTACTGATTCAGAAATACCGATGGAGGAAAGTGTATCTATGGAAAAAGAGGGCATTGAAGAGGAGCAGCAAGCAGCCCAAAGGAAGAAATCATCTGATGAAAGTGCAGATACTGTAGCTTCAGTGCCAAAAGAAGAACCATCTGATAATGGCCTTTCAAACTCTGTGGTAACTGAAGCACTAGAAGAATCAGTTTCTGAAAATGTGTCACCCAAAGCATCGTCTTCCTTGGAAGAGCAAAGTGAGGAAGCAGGGCATGACTCACAAGAAACCCCTGTTGTCCTTGGTCAGAGTTCTTTGATAGTGGTTGAACTTGAGGATGTGTCATTCCAGCAACATTCAGAAGGACAAAAGAACCAATCAGAAGAGCAGTCTGAGGAGTCTTCTGAACAGATGGATCAATACACGCAGACAGCGGCAGAGAGAGCTGCTGACAGCAGCTCAGAAGAAACAGAAATTGAGGTACCAATAGTAGATCGGAGGAATTTACGAAGAAAGGCCAAAGGATACAAAGGACCACCCAAGAAGAAAGGAAAGCCAGCTTAACAATGAAGTCGCTTGTTAATCCAGCTATTTGTAAGTTATTATTTCATTTAAAATAGGGTATTCTTAAATCGCATGGGACACAGGATACACAAGTATTCAGAAGTTTGGGTTGGACTTCCCTTCGGGATTCACCACCTTTCCTCAATTTTTCTTGAATTTTTAACCACTATACAATGAGCTTCATCAGGGTATGGAAGTAAATGGCCAGTCTTCTCCTTTATAAAGGATAAATGCTGAATAAATGGAACAGTTGTGCTAGCAAAGCAACAAAATTTACATTTAAGATTAGAATTGTTAGAAGAAAATACCATCTGTGAAATCCTAAACCCATTGACTTCAGTGAGGCCAGGATTTCACATCAGATGTTTATAAAATTGTCTTTTCTGCTTAAGGAAAAAAAAACAGGACTGAGGGGGAAAAACTCACATAGACTACCAGAGAATAGAGTAAAAGACTATATGGCATAAATATTGATCTCAAGATGAAGGGAGTATACACAAGAACTTACTCTTACAACTTAATGGTCCAAAATAACATGAACAGTGCTATCTATTTTTTCTCTAGTATTGTTTTAGGTGAACTGATTTTCCACCCCTACTTCCAAATCCCATTTACTATTCATTTGAAAGAGAAACAGCTGAGTCCATGATCTGAAGCACTGTCAAAACAATGTCTAGCATTGTACAATACAATAATGAAGCTTTTTAGTGGAGCATTAATGATGCTTATATGGTAAGTTATACATTTATCGTTTCAAAATTCAATGTTAAGCATACATTTTACAGCATCTACTTTTACTTGTGTTGAGCTGCCCATACATTTACAGAACTGTTTGAACTGCCACCCCATGTGCATGTGCTGATTTGGTTCTTGATCATTTACCTTTGTGTCACAGTGCAGAAAATAATCCTTTAGCTGGAAATGGGCTGATTTTAAGTTAATAGGGAATGCTACCTGGTATCTTCCAAATACTTAGCTGGTACATTCAGCAGCCGTTAGATGTGATGTCTATCCGGTGCAAGACTCCTGTGAGCCCAGAAATTCCACGTATACCATGACATTTCATTAGTGTAAAGTAAACATTAATCGGAGTTGCAGCAAACATCTGTGTATGCCAAATTATTGTCTTCGTGCAACTACCAGGAGATTGTTGCAGTTAGATGAAAAAGTGAAGTAGCCCTGACTCTGCTGTAATTCCTGGGATAACACCTTTCCAGTTTGGTTACTTGGATAGTAACACCCAAGCTTGCAGCATTCAGACAGACAGACAGAGAGTAGGCAGGAAAAAACCCAGACCATTCATCCGTGTTTCCGAATAGTCCCTTTTACGCTATCTTCAGTGATATCTCTAACACATTTGACTCAAATTGCAATGTCAGACATCAATTATATATTTTTAAATCGCCGTTTATTTCTGTCCAATAATGAAGCTCCTGCAATAATGGGTAAAAATTCAGGAATAAGTAAGAACAGTGGTGCATGCACAGAAAGGAAGAAATGTGACTATTTGTACTCTTACATATTTTATAAGATAGATGAGCAAAAGTTGGCACCTACATGTCTCAAAATTAAAGGTACCTACTTATTTCTCTTTAGGGTTTATAAATAAAAGGTTCACTTGAATAACATCAATGATCTTTTAATTTTTATCCTCTATGAAACAAATATAAGAATCTGCTTTGATTTTATGGATGTACAGTTTAACTTTTTAGATATTTTCTTATCTTATTTAGCTGGTGAAACACCCTTGTTCTTTTAAACTGTTTTCACTCACTTTAAAATGAGGGTGCAGGTTTTTTTAGAGGCTTGTATTGCATATGCTCTGGAACTGGGGTGCATAGAATCATTGAGCTATATTTGGATTTCTTAAAATGTTGCAACTTTTCCTGTCAATGTACATTTGTTGTATATGAACATTGTGGATGAGAGGTATAAGCAGAACTTTTCTTGATTGTTTATAAATATTCAAGTGAACCTTCAGGCTTTCTAAAACCAATTAAACATTTTCTATAAAGCACACAAGAAAAACCTTCTGTTATGTATGCTGTGGCTTCTCTTTTAGCGCTAAGATTGTTGTAAAAACAGACAGCTGGAAAACACTACATTTTATTGTTGCAAGAATTGAACTTGTTAGGGGGCAGGGAGTTGATCTAAAAAGATGTTTTTTGTGTACAGTAAATTTTAAAAAGTGGATGATATGAATGTTAGGCTGTTAGTTGAAAAGAGTTAAGCTTTGGGAAAGAGTAATGGACTCGTGTACTTCAGTAGATACTTACAAAAATATCTTTTAATTAAAACTCACTTTCATTTTCAATTGTGTTAAACAACAGCATTTTTCAGACCATGCACCCTGGCTTGCTGCATTTAAGGTCTATTCACTTGTGTGGTTCTCCCTCCTCCCCCTTCCCCCCCCCCCATATGGATAACCCAGAACTAACTTATGCGAACATATCCTGTTTCACATATTTCCTGTTCATTGAACATTTAAATTTGCAGTTGCACAGTTAGCACCAATTATTATTTCAACAGTAAAACTCCACTTGACTTCAGGGGCAGCAAGAGCAGTCTTAGGGGTTGAATCTGATTTCACTTAAACTGGTGTAAACTGAGTTACTCATTGATGTCCAAAGGAGTTACACTTGTGTAAAACTAGCAAAACTGAGATTAGAATCAGGACCCTGATTATTAGGAAGAACTGAATATGGAGAACAGGTGCATAATTAAGAATTCTTACAGCCACTCTGCTGCTAACAGGGATATCCTACTACTAGAGAAGGATTACACCAGTCATTTGAGCTAAATGTCATATTTGGTATCAGCTATCTTAACAATTAATAATGAGCTGGTGAAATCAAGCTATTCGCACAAAAGAATTAATGTTCATTACAGTGCTGAAAATCCAATTACAACATAGCATAATCTCAAATACCTTCTGCTATACTATTGCAAAGAGAACACCTCCATTTACAACTAAGCATGTCAATGAAGAGTTTAACTTTGGGAAATAAAATTACCTTTTTTAGGCTTAACAGAAGTAAAACACGGTCTTTCTTGTTTCAGATTACCATTGAACTGTTAGAACTTTTTAAGATCTTACCACACCAGCAATCCAAAATCAGAACAGTGTTTGATTTTTATAGTTTGTACCAAATGTTACTAAAACATGATGTGGAACAATATAAGGACAACTAAAGCAAGCAGTATTATTCTTGAGCCTTATTTAGTCTAGGAACAGAACTTAAAGAACACTAACTTTATCACCCTTAGATGATAAATGGTTTTGTATTTGAACCTGACATTCGTTCATGTCTTATTTGTATTGCTTACTAATTTTCATGAAGATTTGCTCTGCTTCCCACAAATTCATATTCTTTTCTTTGTAAAGTCTATGTTCATTTCATGCAGAAATATTGTTTACTGTTCTCATCCTGTTTCCCAGAACCCATCACATTAAACTTGCATTCATATCTTTTTTCAGAACTGGAATTTTACTTTTAGCTTGATAAATGCTATGTCGCTTATTCTTTGCTGTGTTTCCCCACCTCCACTATCACAATATTCCCTGGAGTTCAGTAATTAGATCTCATTTACAATGACATCAACACCACTACCTAAGTTATACATACGCAAGCAATAAATAGTCCAAGTGTCAGCTTATGTGCTCCATTCTGATAAATGATACACCATTCTCAAACTTTATTTCCAAGGAGATACATTTTAAATTTATTTTCATAAATGTGGTGTTAGGTGTTTTCTAAACATGTGGTACTATGTTTATAAATCTCTTATGGAAGATGTACTGCTATTCTGGATTACTGTGTTAAGTCTTGTTATAGTATTTTTAGTTTTTCCTTTGGTATTGTCTTGATGGCTTTTTGAGATGTTTCAAAGTAGTAATTAAACTTATATTTTGTGACTTTTCCTTGGTTTCAGTATTTGAGTTCCCTCTGCTAAACAGCAAACATTTTCAATCACTCTAGCTCACTAAGATACAATTTATAGTTCTCCAAATGTCAATATTTAACTGTTAGCTTTAATCCATAATTTAAATACTACCATGAAACTTTGAAAGCTCACTAACCAGAGTATAGAATAAAATACATATTAAAATAACTTAACTTTATGAATCTGAATTTTTCACCTAATGAAAAATACTTTTCAATAAACCCTAGGATTGCAGTCTGAAAATGTGAACTGCAAGACAAAACTGATTCCCCCCTCGCTCCCCATTTTATAACTTCATATGTCTGCATTTAATTTTCTTATAAATTATTAACTTCAAACTAAACCACTGGAGGTATAAGGTACAACTAATAATTTATCCAGTCAGTGCAGTATATTTCATACATATCTTAAACAGGTCTTCCAGAGTTAAAGGTTCTTTAACCTTAAGTTTAAAATAGTAACAAAATACAAATTGCAACATGATCCTCCACAGACTGGAGGAACAAAAACGTAAGTTGAGAGAAGGGAGAAGTCGCACATGTAGGTCCTGATCCTGCAACTGCATCCATGCAAGTGGACCTATATGAACCCCCCAGTGAGGCCAATGTAGCTCTACAAAGTGCCATGAAGACACAATTTCAGGAGTAAGTCCTTATTGGCAACAACTGTATTATGCAGCTAAAAGTGGATTGTGTTTACAGCATGAATATGAGTTAAATTAAAACATATCTTTGAGATTGTGTTTTCATAAGCAGAGACCACAATTAGATGAAAACGTCCCTCTAATTGTCTATCACTTACTGTATGTGAAGATTTAACAAATTCAACTGGCATTTCAGATATGAGATGTGGGAGGGATTGGGGCCAGAGCCTATCATCACAAAAATGCCCCCTTCCCCCCCCCCCCAAGCAAATATCAGTACACACTATATTTGCTTGTGATCCTCATTAAATTCAAATCTGTCATGTAACTTCTTTGTTTGTTCATTGTATGAATGTTTGTCTGAAAACTAGTTAACCAATTAGAAGGCATAGTCTTGGGAAATACACTGCTCTGACAAGATTTTCCTAAAACACTCAAAAATTCTGGCTTTAAAAAAAAAATGCAGTTAAGCCAGTCAGTGCATGAACACTTTAGACAGAAGCTTTTGTAGTAAAATTGGTACAAAAAATGCATTTAGCTTAATCCATTAATGGCAGTTTTTTATGGACTTAAGTCCCAGTTCTGCAGACACTTGCATTGTGCATATCCTTCACTTTATGCATGTCAGCAGTCCCATTTGACTATGTAGAATACCTTTTGATATATCTAGTACCACCAAGTCCAAGCATTCAGATAAATGAGTCAGGTCCAGAAAAATCACAGTCAAGAGTGTTTTAGGCATCTTGTCCCAGAGCTTCAAGGGTCTTGACATCAATGGAAGTTGGGAGCCTAAATACCTTTGGGGCTCTGGGCCCTTTTTTCTACAAGTATGAGGGCTGGAACCTTTTTTTAAATGAAAGCTGATTCTTAAGTAATCATCTGACACAAGGGGAATGGGGCTTAAAGAAATAAAATATGGCATGAGCTTGCAACAATGTGTTGAATACAAAGCCTGTTTAAGAGTGGGATTACAGACTGAAGTATGTTTGCAGGTTTGGGGCCTTAATTTATATTCTATTTTGTATGTTGCCTTCTATTACAAAAATTCTACCGTTACAACTCTACCATTATGGAGCTAAAAATGTGATCATGCAGCATAAGGCACTGGTAGTGATATAGTCTACATGTACAAAATAACATGTAATTGCAAATTATTTCCTTGTTTAGGACTACCTCTAGCTTCTTAAATCATCAGAGTAAGATAGTTGATGTGTATAATTGCTGAGGACTTGAAGCAAGTATAGATGGAGTAGCTAATGACAAGTTAGCTTCTGAGCTGACTGACCTTTAACATCTTGGATTGGATATTTATTGGTGGGGGTGGTTGTTTCATGGACCGCTTTAAAGAACCTGGTTTTTTTTGTTTTTTTTTTTCCTAACTTCTGATGTAGTGGGTCATCCAACCCAAAAACTTGTATTCCTAAACAGCCGATGGAAGATGAACATACAATTACTTGCAGCTTTTAGCATATCAGACTGTTTGTTCCAATCAAATTTAATATGCAAAAATCTGTACAATCTGGGAGATTGTAATAGAGGGAACCATTGAAGATATATTTTTGGGAGGGGGAACAAAGCTTTGACTAGATCATACCTCAAGTATGAGAGGAGCCAGGAATCAGTATTTGTCTAGTCCAAAGGTCCCCAAACTGTGGGGCACATCCCCCTATGGGGTGCAGCTGAGGCCAGGGCCAGCCCCCACAAGGGGTGGGGCGGGAGCACCACCCTGCTCCTGGCCCCGGTTCAGGAGGAGGGCATGACCCTGAAAAGTTTGGGAGACCATTGGTCTAGTGTACTACTTGTAACCAATAGTAACTGCATCAACAAGCACCTTTGAAATGAGTATCTTTTCCAAAATTCAAAATAAAGTTAAGTCTAATTTAGCTTTACAATAGCTTGGACACTGCATTAGCAGTATCCTCTAACAAATGAAGCTTGATTGGATGTTTTTGTATGTCCCACTGTGATTATAGACTAAAATTATGTACCTCTTAAAATCAAATCACTTACTCTGAATAACTCATGTCTTTGTTGCTTATTGAAAAAAATCTGTTTCCAATTATTTCAACATGTACAAAAAAGGTAGGGAAAGATATTTTTAAAAACTCATTGCATAACTTTCAACTAATAGTCTAGGTAGGAGGTTTCCTACAGCTTGTTAGTATGTTCATGATCTCTGACCAATATTACAGCAGAAGGAAAAATTCTTATTTTGAAAGCTTAATTGCTTTCTGAATAAATATTTAGAGTATAACCAAATGGCATTTAAACTAATTTGAATTTAAGAATAACCCCTGAATTTACATTCACTAAAGAATTTACATTAGTACTTTAAAAAAAAAAAGTGTTATTGATTTAATGGTAGGTATCGTCTAGAATTACCTCAGAAGTGAAGGAAAATACAATAGATAGTATATACACCTAGTAGATACTGCCATCAGGAAACAAGGCAGCAGAGAAATCTATGACTGCAGACTCCTCAGTATTCTCTACCTCCTTGCCTGGAAGCACACAGATCCATGCTCTCAGGCCCTACTTCCTCCTCTGATGCAGCTGAGATTTGGGGGAGGGAGGAATGATGATGAAGACAGTAGGTTCATGCATAGGATAAAGATTGACACACCTCTAGCAATCCTTGCATCAAGTGTCTGAGTGATTGAAAGAAAACCTGTTCAAAGCACACAGCCTTTCAGATAGCTAATGCCTACAAGTCAGAGGCTTTCCCCTTCTAACTGCAGTTCTAACCCCAGCAGAATACTTAGTGGCACTAAAGTA